AGATGAGTCTTGTATAGACTCACTGAGATTATTGTAACAGTGACAACGTAGAGATACTAGGCAAGTCAGAGATGAAGGATTGATAAGGAAAATACGTTAAATGTTAACAAGAAGGGCTCCAGCACTAAGTGGAGTTAATGTTTAGCGTGGTCCCCAGCCGCTGCCCTGACACTCTGTACTCGGCCCTATGTGTCCCCTCCCGTCCGGGAAAGCCGTGGCCAAGAACGAGACGGCGGATCAGGATGAGGCTTCAGCCGCCCGACAAGTGCCAGGGAAAAGGGCTGCGAGCACCAGTCCTCTGCATCAAGTGGGCTTGCAAGTGTGGCCAGAGGACTGGTCACCAAAGTGCTCCCAAAATGAGGTGTCATGTGCAGGAGCCTGCACGTCAGAGCAGTTGCRGGTACACTGGAAGGAGCGGGGATTTTTGCTTTAGGCTCTAGTTGCTCGCTCGGGTGCCCAGGACAGGGGAGGAGGTTTCCCGACCTGCTGCGAAACTTAAAGAAATAACCCGGGCAGGGTCCTGCGGAGCTGAGCGGCCCCCGTGCGTCCTGCCCCCTGCCTCGCGTGACAGCGGCCGCCCCACGCCACGGTCGCCCTGCGCGGGAACCACTCGCCCTCCCGCCGTGCTGGGCACTCCTGGCCCATGGGGCTACCCGGTCAGCTGGTTTATTAGCCYCACACGCTTTATTAGCCCCAAGGAGCTAGTATCGAAGTTTCTTAGCGTTCACGGAGGGTCGGCCAAGCGGGACGCCTTTCAGCTTGCTGTCCCGGTGGCGTGGCCGGGGGTTGTCTCCARTTTTCCAGAGGAGGGAATTTTTAGGGGGCAATTTAAATCTCTCTATATGTATGTGCTAGATTTCTGCTGATGAATCAAGGTCCAGAACAGAAGGAACAGCTCAACTCAGATCAATTCTTGCCACTTCCACGGAGTCTCCCGCAGGGGTGGCTCTCCAGCCTCTCTCTCCCTCGGCAGGTGACGACGGCTCAGGGCAGACTCGCGCCTACAGGGAAGGACCCCCGGTCCCAGGAGTGGGTCAGGGAAGAGCTGGACACTTGCGTACTTGCGGCAAGAAATTGCAGCGGCGACCGACGCTTCTGCATTGAGCCGCTGTGGACACGCAGTGTCCTGTGCCGTTGTGTTAATAAAAATATACCTCTTATCGAGAAATAACTGCCAACAAGTTTTTTGGTAGCTTCCTCTTTTCCCCATTGAGCTCAGAMGCTTCAAAGATTTTAGGCACGTAGTGAGAGCCCGTCGCCCTGGCGTCTGGGCACACTTAGGCACGTGTTGGAGAGCTGTAGTGATGGGGCCCGAGCTCCCGCGTGAGCCCCGCTTGCGGAGGGAAGCGCGGCGGAGCCTTCTCTGCTAGCTGAAAGTGTCTGAAAGGGGGAAGAGCGATTTGGGGCAAAATGCCAAGAGGAGGCACAGGCAGAAACGCCCCCCCACACACACTCCGCGGCTGCTGCGCGGCGAAATGGATGGCGAGTCCGAGCCTCGGCCCCTCCGCGGCTGCGGCTGGACGAGCACATTCGCTTCCCCTTGGGGAGGCACCGCAGCAAGTTT